CCATACATTATGAGGATAATTTGCAGATGTAACGAGGCTGACAACCTGCTGTGTAAGAAACCAATCAGTCTTCTCCAATCTTCTGTTGCTGCAGCCCGTTTTATCGTTCACTCTCCACAGCCGAACAATAAACAGGGTGGAGAATCAGCCCCATGACTAACTAAACTCAGCATAACATGTATTTTCTTTCATCTAGTTCAATGCCATCAACACAATATTTAAGTAATGAATGTCTTGTTTAGTTTGATCACTGCAAATCAGAACAGGTTGAATGTCTGATTCTGTCAATGTCAGAAAGTTCAACCAAAATGATCAACTCTGCATTTCCCCCCTTAAATTTACCATACGACGTCTTGAAAGAGAATTCATGCTCCTTGAACTTTACATTTTATCCCGTTACAACGTCAAAGTATTGTACTGAGACCAACACAGAAAAGTGCACAACTGTGAAGTGAGTGGAAAATGATTTGTTCAGCCCATCATCTGAAAATGAAAGAACAATGGCACAACTGCAGAACTACCAAGACATGATTGTCCACCTAAACTGACAGGCTGTCAAGGAGAGCATTCATCAAGAAACAGGTGAGAATGGTTAACTCAGAGGAGCTGCAGACATCCACAGCTCAGGTGAGAGAATCTGTCATGAGGAAAACCACTTGTTCACTTCCCAAATGTGACCTTTGTGTAAGAGTGGCAAGAGGGAAGCCTTTGTTGAATAAAAGCCATATAAAGTCCCGTTTGATATTCACAAGCCATCTATGGGTCTAAGAGGTACAAATACACTGCCTGACCAAAAAAAAAAAGAAAAGTCACCACCCAAAAAAAAGGTCACCCACTAATATTTCGTTGGACCGCCTTTAGCTTTGTTCACGTCATGCATTCACTGTGGCATTGTTTCGATAAACTTCTGCAATGTCTCAAGATCTATTTCCATCCGGTGTTGCGTTAATTTTTCACCAAGATCTTGCATTGATGACTAGGCACTAGGAATGATGGGTGCATCACTTCACTTGCCTCTCTTCTTACCCTGATACGCCCATCACTCTGGAACAGGGTCAATCTGGACTCAGACCACATGACCTTCTTTCATTGCTCCAGAGTCCAATCTTTATGCTCCCTAGCAAATTCAAGCCTTTTTTTCCTGTTAGCTTCACTTATTAGTGGTTTTCTTAAGGGTACACAGTTCAGTCCCAGTCTCTTGAGTTCCCTTCACATTGTGCGTGTGGAAATGCTCTTACTTTCACTATTAAACATAGCCCTGAGTGCTACTGTTGTTTTTCTTTGATTTGATTTCACCAAATGTTTAAGTGATCCCCGATCACGACCATTCAGGATTTTTCCGGCCACATTTCTTCCTCAAAGACGATGGGTCCCCACTATCCTTCCAGTTTTTAATAATGCGTTGTACAGTTCTTAGCCCAATTTTAGTAGTTTCTGTAATCTCAGATGTTTTCTCTGCTTGATGCCAATGATTTGACTCTTCTCAAACAGACTGACATCTTTTCCACGACTACGCGATGTGTCTTTCCACATGGTTGTTTAAGAAATGAGAAGCAACTCATTGCATCAGTTGGGGTTAAATAACTTGTTGCCAGCTGAAAGATAATTGCCCATGCAGTAATTATCCAATAGGAGGCTCGTACTTATTTGCTTAGTTAAATCCAGGTGGTGACTTTTTGTTTGTGGCCAGGCATACTTTTCAAGGCATTTTATATTGTCTTATGTTTGAGTCCTAAGTTTTTCATTGGCTTCTTGTAAAAAAAAATGTTTTGTTTAAATAAGACAAAAATTCTCGATTGCACTTGAGCCGACTAAATCTCTGGCTTATCCTCCACGTACACCAGTACCTTTAGTAAATAAGTTTTAAATGTCAGTGATTGTTGTACAGATCCTGTTATTTCACAGATTTCTAACTAGTGCACAACATGTGTAGGAGTCGTGTCTATCCTTTAATTATCATGAGCAGACAAACAAGTCGGCTCTGTGGCATGTATTATTTGGTAACTTCAGAGGTTACAACATCAGCCCGTCAGCAGCCCGTAAGCCTTCGGGTCGTTGAGAACAATCCTGACTATTGTGCACTACATGAAACCTAATCACACATTTAACCACACAGTTGATCTTTTTCAAGTTTAAATCTTACATCTTTGCTATATGAGTCAATAATAAAAAAAATAAAAAAAAGACAGTTGATCTTTTCTCAAAATATGCCTAATCACTTTGTAACATTGTGTAGGTGTGTTTGTGTGTGTGTGTGTGTGGGGGGGGGGGGGGGGGGGGGGAGTGTTCCTCATTGAAAAAGTGCAGAGCTGTTAGAGCGGCATATGTTGCCCTAAGACATCTTTTCCACTCAGACTTGTGCATTTTTTTGACTTAAGTCACATTTTTCACAAAAAACAAAGGTAAAGCAGGAAGAAGAGAGTGATGCAATGGACTTGACTGAGATCCTGACCTGTCCTCACTAAAACATAATAGTTTTGAAGCAAAAGCATGCAGGTGAGTCCTCACAGTTGCACCTGAAGATGAGATTGCAGTAAGAAGTTGAGGAGCAACACTTAAAACTTTTCGTTGCTTACATCCTCCATGCTGGAATGTCCAAAGGGCTAAATAAAAAGGACTGGCAACTTTAGAAAATTGTAAAAAAAAATGTGATTGCCTCAAACTTTTTGTGCCGTTTCACAAACTTGAAATGCAGGAATGAAATGAAAGTTGGAAAATAAAACATAAATGATGTTCATCGACACGCAAATAATATATTTATCTCCATTCTGATGTAGAAACTGTAAATAAATAGTGAATGTTTCATGAAGCTTTTCAGAAAAGAAGGGGGGAAACCTGGACAAACTGGGAGAATCATGAAGGCTTCCAGTTTGCTCAGAGGAACACAGTGTGACAGTGTGATTCATCAGCATTACTGGCAGGGCAGAAACTTTATTATAACAGATCTTATCTTGTCTCCTCTCTCCCCCGTTTGAAAACTTTGGGTCGTTTCGCTCTTTCTTCTTCGTCCAACTTGCATCCAGAGGGCTTTTGGGGTTAGTGCTTGTTTGCAAAAAGATAGAGCGAACCAGCCAGATGGGTAACAGACATACACACACAAACACACCAGCACACACACACTCATGCAGATTGTCTTGGAGATACTGGGTGCAGAAGACTTCTGGATCGGCCTCTAAATGCTGCCAGCTACAAACAGGCACACGTACAAACATTCCTCACAAATATGAAGGTCTTTTAGGGTTCTTTCAAGTGACACATTTTCTCAAATGTCAATATTAAAAGTGGCATCCCATAAAAATCACAAATATGGTTAAATTTCTCAGTATTACTTGATTTTGCCCTGATTTACCACACTATTGTAGAAACATGAAAGCAAAATCTAACATAATTGTAGCATTTAACAATAAAATTAGAGTTGCAAAAATAAAACACACGCTTCCTGCATTTTTATTGCATATTAAATTAAAAGTATTTATTTTTAGAAAACATGAACTTGGAGTGGCCAGTTTTTTTGTCTCTACCACCATCTTGTGGAAATTAATGGAATGACATATTCAACAGGAAAAAAAAAAATCACTAAAGTTTCAATATGCATGTCAAATCTGCCAAATTATTACAGATTATTTTGGATTATAGGAGGGATTTGAATGATTGGATTTAGGTTTATTTATAGTGTTATTTTAAACATTGGTTATACCCAGGCAATATTAAAAGAAAATAATTAGTTTCATGCAATTAATGTGAACACAGTAAATCAGATTTAGTAGTGGAAACATAACAAAACATAAATGTATAGTTATTTAAAGTTATTCTAATAAATGTTTTATATAAATAACATATTGAATTATCGAAATTGTAAACAGGGTGTTTATCTTCTGAGCACAACCTAAAACATCTCCTTCCCATTCTTCCTTTGGAAACTAAAGTTTTGTCAAATTAAAATAAATGCATTTAGCCAGTGGACCAGAGCTAAAACAGCAGAGATGTTTTCAAATAACATCTCATGGGTCACATCAACAGACAAAAGAATAGAACTGAAATGAACAGAACAGAATACATGTTTAAATTCCCAGTAAAAATGACAATACTGCATTTATATATTAATGAAAAAAATTTAATGTCATGTTTAGTAAGTTCAAATAAAAGAATAAAAACTTCAATGAAAATTTGATAATTAATTCAATTCAATTCAAAATACTTTATTAATCCCAAAGGGAAATTAAATAGTGTGGCTCATCATCCTGGATTCATTAAGAGTTGTTATAGAACTAAAAGAATATATGCTAATAAAAAATATATTTTCAGAATGTTTTCAAAAGGGAGGAAATAATATATTTGTTTTATTTTTAATAATATCATAAATATACTATGATAGATAATGTTTTATTTGCATAATTCAGGTAAATAGTATTTGTGTTTGATCTCTTTCATCAGAAGTGTCTGCAAATAGATTTGAATACATTTTAAAATAAATTAAAGACTTGCCAGGACAACTGAAAGTTGATTTAAAGACTTTCTGACAAATTAGTAAGTCATGAAATTGTTGTTTTATTTAAGCAAAACAGAAAGAATCTTACACTAATTAGAGTTTAAAGTATGTCAATAAATAGCCAGCTTGCAAAAACAGGTTTAATCACAAGATTACAGCACACAGACCTTTAACAACTTTATTAAAAACCCTTGAAGGCAACGTATCCATGTAACAGAATATGTCTGAATTAAGTCCAATAAAGTTTTAAACTACTACAGAAGTGTCTTAACTTCATCAACTACAGTTTGAATCAGCTGAAATGTATTCTATTCGACTTTAGAGATTTTGAACGAAGGATTAATGAGAAGAAGCAATAAGATAAAGCTGGCGGGATGAAAAAGAAAAGTTTCCCTGGGTGGAATGCATATGTCAGTTTGTATAAAAGGACGTGGATTTTGATGAAAGCAGTAAAATGAGGCAGACCTGTGGCGTGCTGGGTGTTAAGTGCTCATGCTTCAGCGGTAACCGCTCTGGACATTAGTCTGCGTGTAAAAGAGAACAAAACATGAGCAAACACGTGCTGCTAGTTTTTTTCTGATTAATGCAACAAACAGCAAAAAACAGCTAAAGTCAGAATCAAACCTGTATTCACTTCACTGATCGAGGAGGGAGGATAACGGATCAGGGATGTGCTGTGAGGTCAAATTCTCCTCTGACAGCTTCAGTCATCAGGTTCTGAAGTGTATTAATCAAAATAGTCTCACACATATCAGCAGGTGCGAGCTCAGGCTGTAATGTAGTCTGTGTTTCTTCAGCCCCCTCTCTGTCGACTGTCTCAAAAAGAACACGAGGCTCAGAAGAAGATGAAGAAGTAGAAAGGGGATGTGGAGTGGGAGACATTTTTATCTGCTGGTAAGTGCGGATCTTAGAAGATAAAGTAGCCAGAGACTGGACAAAGGTTGAATCCTCCAGTACATCACTGAAAAGAGCAAGATAAATACAAATAAAACACGCGCACTAAACTGACACATATACATAAATCTTTGTATCTGGGTGTTACTTGAGCAGAAAAGTTAGGATGCGCTCCTGGATGTCTCTCGAAGGGCCAGGAGTCGATGTAAACGGCCCAGCAGGGACAGATGTACGTGGAGAATGTGGTACAGTTTGGTTGTTTGTTCTTGACTGAAATTTTCTGGGAAAAAAATAAATAAAAAAAATCCTGACAAATTATTTTCAAAAGCAAGAACAATTATTTTTCAAAATTTTAAATGTGAAACTATTTCTAGTAAAAACAATAAAACTCTGGACATGTAGAAGCAAACCATACACATGTAGTCTGGGAGGGTCAAAAATTAGATTTCTATTGGCGAAATGTGAACACTACAATCAAAACTATTTTGGGATATCCAGTATCAAAAGATTTTAACACCATGTATCTTGGAAACATTTAAAATGTGTTTTAAAATAAAGACGTACTTGATTAAGATAATGTTAACTGCCTGCAAAACACATACTGTATAACAAGGAACTGGTACCAGACATGTGCTCCCTTCATAATGGCTGAATATTGATAGAGAAATTTGAGAGATGGAGCAAATAACTTTCATTCTTAGACTAAAATAAAGCATTTTTATAAATAAGTGGGGAAAATGGACACAGTGTGTGTGTGTGTATATATATATACATATATTTGTTTTGGATGTTTTTATTATTATTATTACTGTACAGAGAGGCCTGCTCAGGCTAACATAATGTGTAAAATGTATGTGATATATCTTTAATATGTTATTTACTACTGAAAATGTTAATAAAAAAATAAAATGGAAAAACAAAAACAATAAAATCTTGTTTTATTTAATATATGTAAAGTGAAAAATGTTACCTGTAATACTTATGGTACTGGTCAGGAAAGTGTTTGAAGTATTCCATAGATCCATGGGAGTGAGCTGTAACACTTAGGTGCAGCAGAGCGGGTTCGGGGGGTTGAGGCCGCCTCCATATTTTTGCCATTTCTCGTTGCAGCCGTCGCTCAGCTCTTGTTTCTGTGACACCGAACTTACTAACTGCTTTGTTACTGACAGGGATTGGAGGAAGAGGCTGCGTGGGCAAAGGAAAGTACACGTTAGTTGTGCTATCAAAAGTTTGTATTTTATACAACATTTAAAAAAAACGCTAAAATTAAAAAGATGGTATACAAAGACAACCTTGTATTTCAAGAGTGGTGGTGGCCCTTTTCTTGTAGGAGGTGCTACAGGTTTCTGTATCAAATGAAAGAAAAACATGATGAGTAAAGATTGTTACATTATTTTACTTAAATTATACATTTCAAGTCAGACCTCATCCATCAAAACTCTTTGACTCCTCAAGATGTTTTTGTCTGTGATTATGAACTCGTTTTGCTGTCTTTCCTTCTCTTCCTCCCAGCACCGCAATTCATCACGATACTGAGCAAACGAAGCCTCTTGTAAAACCTAGAGAACAGAAAAGAGGAACAAAACATGTGGTGAAATACTTTACTGCTCTTCCTGTCTCCTTACATCTACACAGTTATTGTGGTACCTGACATATGAGCTCAAGTTGATAAACGGTGGGGTAATCAGTGGGAATGAAGGTCAGGACACAAAGGGTGCACTCCCCCGGACAGAGACTGCCTCGCTCTGGATGGAGCTGCACCACCTGTTATTACATATGCGTATACATTCATTTGTCAAAGTTGTAGCTCTAAATCTAAACAGGTTCGTGACATGAAACTAACCTGCTGGTTCCTGGGCTGGGGAAGCTCCCACGTATAGTGAAGAGTGTCTGTGTGGGACACGTTGGTGAGGAAGAAGATTCTTGACATCTGTGCGCAAACAGGAATATTGCCTAGAAAGACACTGTCTTCTGATAGGAACAACACCTACACACACACACACACACACACACGCGTTGATACAATAGTAAAAGACTTGAAAAACAATCAAAATATGTATTAATTAATAATATTAATTCAGACGACAAATGCTAAATATAGTAGTCCCTCGCTACTTCGCTGTTCGGCTTTCGTGGATTCACTCTTTCGCGGTTTTTCAACATAAGATTGTACACAACACATGACTGTCAACTTTAATATTACTCATCTGATTTGGGATGGTACAGGATAAAAAAGTTAACAAAAACAATAAAATACTTCGGACAGGCGCCGCCATTTTGTAGTTTTCTTTCAATAACCCTACGCTGTAAGACAAGTCAAAAGAACTACACTACCCAGAAGCCAACAGTGCTTTCTGCCGCTGCTTTCTGCAGAAATGGAGGGAAAGTTTTGCAACGCAAAGTCAGAAGTAACGATCTATCTATTAAGCTCACAGAACTGGCAGGAAAGTCGCAAATAATCCTGAAGGTGAATTATCCATACGCGCATCAACCTGGACAGGGCGATGAGTTTCGTCGCTGCAGGGAAGGTCTGCTGAACCAGAACCGAGCTCGACCGGAACTGAGCTGCTGGTCTGCAGAGTGGTGAGTACCCATATAAAATTTTGCAGTACTGTGCAGTACATATATGTATGATATTAAAATTATGTAGGTTTAAGAGTTTAGAACATTGTTAATAACATTGCAAGAGTGTGGGAAGGGTTTATAAAGCCTTAAAGTAATTATAAATACTAAAATAAATATAATGTTCCTACTTTGCGGATTTTCACCTATCGCGGTGGTGTCTGGAACGAAATCCCCGCGATAATTGAGGGACTACTGTATATTGTTTTATGTACTCCCTTTATACGTAGATGCACCCACCTGTCCTGGGAAGGGCTCCCTCTGGACACGGTGTACATCAGCCTTACTACTGCTGTCCGTAAAGACGGTGGAGGAGCCAAGTGTTGACGAGTCAACTCCACGTCCTTCAAACTTCACAGTTATCGAGGAGACCATTTCTTTTATGTAAATAGGAATATCCATCTGTGCATGATACAAAAAAACAAAACAAGACAAGACCAAGAAAATCACAAGGCAAGTTTGAAAGTTTTGAGAGCAGGATGTGTAATTGTGCTGTCCAAAAACAATTTACTCAGTTTATTGCTCTGAACAGATTGAATATGAGGTAAAGAGCTAACTGTTTACACCATACATGATACATCTTGGCCTCCAGTGGAGAGAAGATCCACTCAAGTGTGGATGTCTTCCCAGGAGGAACTTCTCCCTCTGGACTGAGACAGCTCAACACCGGATGGTTAAAGTTGTCCTCTTGAAGCTGTGACAACACAGCTTTATCCACTTCATAATGTACTGGCACTGCTCCTCCATTGTACAGTTCATACACCTGGACAGTGAATATGTATAAATACATATGAGTTTAAAATACATTTGAGATTTTGTCAGAAACATCCTCAAGTTGGTAAGATAACAGATTCTGTATGTTTTGATTGTATAAAGTACAACAAGTTGTGTTTCTGATGTTTTAGCAAACTGAAACATCCACTAAGTACAAAGGATTGATAGAAACATCAAGTACGTACTCACCTGCCACGGAGGACTAGTGTCGTCAATTGCTACAGGGCTGAATATATGTTGCTTAGGGGCAAAGTTGAGATATGGTTCCTCTTTCTCCACTGTCACTCCCTGCAAGTTTAGCTGTACAAAGAAAATAAATTATAAAATATGGAAATTGAAAAAGGCAAAAACAATAATAATAATAATAACATCACCTAAATAATGTAATTCAAATATAATAATCTTTTTTTACTAGAATGATAAATTGAAATTTCTTGAATGATTTGTTAGTGTTGAATAAATTAACTGTATGTCTTACCAAGATCTTTCTGCCATAAGTGAGTTTGAACACAACAAGAAGTCGATTTGTTCCAATGAAGTCATGACTGTGAAGGAAAAGATTCACTTTGTTTTTTGTCAAATAAGTGTAACCTGATGCAAACAATATGTTCTTTAAATACACAACAAGTCATTACATTAACATCTGGTAGTATAATTTACTAATTAGGAACATAAATGCATTCATTGGAGCTAAATTTGTATTAAATGTACAGTATGTGACTGAGATTATGAATGGTTGTTTGTCTATGTGTCCCCGTGATGGACTTGTGACTTGTCAAGGGTGTACCCCACTGCTAACAAAATAAAAATAATGGATGTATGGATGGATGGATGATACATGGATGGATGGATGATTCATGGATGGATGGATGGATGGATGGATGATACATGGATGGATGAATGATGCATGGATGGATGGATGCATGGACGGATGGATGGATGGATGGATGGATGAATGGATGGATGGATGGATGGATGGATGAATGAACAGTAGGTTGTCAGCCATAATAATCTCTGACCTGTAGATGAATTGTACTGCCTGCTTCTGGCCAGGAAGCAAAGTTCCAGATTTAGGGGAAACATTAAATATTTGATTGATTTGAACCTGAAAGGGACAAAATTGGGTGGGGGGATGGGGGGGGGGGGTGTTAAATCTCTTTTAATAATATTACTGCTCTGCATAACCTTCATCCAATGCAGCTCTGTGCTGCTGAACTCTCCACTCACCGCCCAGTCCTTCAGCCCCATCTGCTGGTCCTCTGGAAATAAGAATGCCCTAATAATGAAGACAAAGCCACCAAATCAGTAAATAGGCATAAAATATAAGTAAAAAAATATTAAAGTAGAGAACTGCACAGTGCAGCCTGGTTTTATGTTCGCTGTATAAATTGACTCTACAATCATTGCTGTTGTCTGTAGTTTACATACCAGTTTACACGGACAGAACCAGGGTTGTAAAACATCAACATAATTTCTGATGGTTCTGAATTAAGGGGAGCAGAACTAAAGATGAAATCCAACATGACACTGGTGAAGAAGGAAGGACAACTGCGTATAAATAAATAAGCAGAAGGCATTGTGAAGCAGGTACTGTCAACAGAAAGATTTAAAAAATCAGTAAACTGTGATCATTTTTAATTTATAATGAATTTAAAGTGCATTGCAATTCATAGTATGGTGTTTGTAAAATAAACCTGTGCTTTGTTGGGGTTTTGAAGGTGAGTTCTGTAGGGGAGGGAGCATCAAGCAGGTATTCATTGAGGCTATCCAAAGAGAAGAGTTTCCACAAATGCGGCTTGCTGAGTCTGCCCGTACTGCCACTGCTACATAAATCAACCACCTGTAGGGTGGGGTACACCCCCTTAGCTTGGACTTCACACAGTTTCTGAGGAGGACTTGGATCATGACCTGAAAAACAACAGAGGCAGAGGAAGAATTTAATACAAATTGAACGGGTGATCATGTATTTATTTCAAGGTGCAGGTATGCTTTATATTTACCATTACTATTTAGAATGTGGTAGCTGATAGCCCAGTGGTGCTGTGCCTGTGTGCATATTCTGAGAGTTGATGGGAGTAGCAGTTTGAAATGTGAGGGCATAGTTCCCGTTTCAAAATCCAGATGAAGAGCTTAAAGAACAAAACATATCATGATTACTACAGTTTGATATTAAATAAACTACTATATCAGCCTAAACAGCACATGTGCACAAAAGTGTAAAGAAAGCAGAAACAAGAAGCTTGGAAGTATTTATGAAAAAGACCACTGAAGAAATTACCACTGTCATCCTCTTCAGAGTCATAAGGGTGAACATCTATTTGTATCTGCTGTACAGAGAGATGAAAAGAGACGGGACAGGGGCTGTTGTTCACGAGAGGAATCTCAATTAATCGACAGGTTCCAACTGCAATCGCTCCCACATCTATGACTGCTTTCTCTGTCTGAGAAGGAAACAAACATCCAGATAATGCTTGATCAAATCTCCAGGTCAATGGATGCTCTAAATCAAACTGTGTTTTTTTTTAACACACAAACATTTAACAATGCACAAACACAAAATCCTCACAAACACAATGATAGTCCCACCTCTATGGAGCCCATTGAACCCATTCCGGTCACTTCAAGAGGAAGATGCAACTTGTTAGAGCCATCGCTCTGGACTGGCCAAAAGTTGAGAGTGGGTTTGAGTGTGTATATTTTCTCTGCCAGAGGACTGAAGAACCATGTCTGGATCTGTAATAAAACTAAACCTCTCAGTAAATGATTCCTTTATTGAGCTGCAAATTCATTAGCTATGTGAATACACAGTATGTGGCACTCTTTTCTCCCTCACTGAGCGCTCATTGGGATGCAGTTCACCAGCATCTGGTTCGACAGAGATAAGCTTCTGTTCTGCCTCTGGAATGCTCCACTGAAACCTATCAAAGAGAACAATCAGAGAAAGTCAGCTGCAAGCAAGATTACCAATGCAGCAGTAAGTTCAGACAACAACCAGTCCACTGAAGGGGCTAAAATTGAACCAGTAACTACTTGATCAACTAACTGTACAGCCAGGCGGCTTAAGTTCCTGATGTGATGGGTGCGCTGGGTTTTTGATCCCACAATCGTTGGGTGGAAATATAAACTGCTGCCACTTTCCAAAGACACACACGGCTTTTCCGCCACACTCACAACTCTTAGTTCCTGAAGGAGATAAAGACTTATAAAAAGCAACATTGTGATTTAGTTTTACTGTATCTTGTATCTGTGTGTAGAGGGATACCTTTGTGAAATTAGCTGCATTGAGCTGTAGCGATAAGTTGAACCCTTGTTTGGGACTGTCCTCTGTGGGAATTGCTCTGACGGTTATGATTTGGTGATTCTTTGGCTGGATCAAACCACAGCCTGGCAGTACATGCATGGATTCTACAGATGTGTAGTCTGAGATGTTCAGGCAGAAGCTGAGTGGCAGATCTGCATTGTTCTGCAGGAGCACTGTCCGAGAGGAAATAACACCTAGGGCTGGAAAGACCTAGCACAAAAAAATATATATAATAACCATGTCCTCCACTTTAAGTGTATAATATTTTGTATTTTCAAATAAATGCCTTGCATTGTGCAGATGTTTCAGTTTTATTTTATTTTTTTCCTGTTGTTTTCTTTTTCTTTTCTTCCTGATACTATGAATGATGGGTAAGATAAAAGTATTTTTTAACAATGTACTTGAATTTCAACATGCAGAAAAAAAAAAAAGAGATTAAACTTCGTACATCATTTACTTCAACTGCTGGTTACTACGATGAAGGCTTCAAAGTTATTTTTAAATTCAAAGGTTTATGAACAGCTTTGGCCTGTGACATCTTACAAAGTGTAACCTGGTCAAGTTCTAGATGTTACAAGTTGTTACCAAAGAGTGATTCTTCTGTCTATAGAGTTAAACTTGTTGCATATTTCTTACAAGAACTTTTTTCATCCAAGATGAGGGTTTTTACATGGTTATTTTGAACAAACAGTATACAACCTAGCTGTTTTTTATTTTATTGCCACTTTTCCTTTTAATTATCCTTTTAATTACCATTTTATTTTCAATTGTAAAAAAAAAAAAAATCTAATTTGTACACATCCTTTATAATTGTCTATTGTTGTCATTGTTGTCCACTGTTGTCATCACTTTTTGATAAAATTCAGGTCTCTCTTGTAAATGAGTCCCTGAGGCTCAATGGGATTAACCTGTATAAATAAAAGGTTGAATGAAAAAAAAAAAAAAAAAACTACCGGTATTGTTTTTAGTGGAGTTTCTGTTTTACCACTTGAGAAGGGTTCAAGAAGCAGCTGGGTGTAAAATGTTTTCCTGGCTGAAAGGAGTGTCCGATGACTCTGACAGTCAAACAGCAGGGTGGATGCATCATCAGTGCATCAGAACTGTCCTATGACATCAACAAAGGTACAGTACAAAGGTAAGTTCTTACATTAAGAATGAAAGATAAATGAAAAAAAGAAGAAGTTTTAACTCAGAAGAAACAGTAGTGTGTCAAATGATTTTACCTTATAATATGCAAAGCACTCAAGTTGTCCTCCGTGCAGGGTATTGAGCTGTTTGGGGTCATACGTGACTTGAAATGCATTGGATGTCAGTGGGGCCATGTCATATGATGTGGGAGTGACTGAGAAGGGAGAATCTGGAGCAACAGTCCACACCAGTCTTAATCAAGTAAAAGAAAAATGTGTATATTTCTAAGAGTTAAAATATCGTAAAAAAAAAAAAAGCAAAATTGCTGACAAAATGACGATGACTGATTACCTGAGATTTCCTCTGGTGTGGCTTCTGATGGAAACAAACTTAACAAAAGAAGATGAAAACACTGTGGAAGATATAATTTTGTGATTGAACAGCAGTTCACTTGGCTCCATGGTTACAAGTGGAAATGGTGAAGGATTTAAAGTGAGGCTCTCCATGCGCCCCATGATGATTTGATCAAACTCCTCTGTGGGGGTGGTAGAAATGACAGGAGCACGGTTTGGGTTTTGATTTGTCTGATGGAAAATAACACAAAGACAAAGTCAGAGAGTTAATATTAAATTATATACTTCACCTTTTCTTAAATAAAGCTGGTGTTAGTTTGTGGCGGATTTATTTTTTCAAAGATGTCCAACTAAAATCACCTCCTCTGTAGGAAAGTGCACCCCCTGCTGGTCCTCATGTGTATTTTGATCTTGCTTTGTGGTTGAATCTAGTGAGTTATGTCTGTGTTCAGGTTTCAATATTTCTGGTTGCTGGGATTCTGAATGGCAAGTACCAATCAAATCCAGAAACAATGGTTCCTGAAAGAACAATACAGAAATATTTAGACAGTTTTATTTATATTCGCCAGCATCTTGATTGTCTGTGTTTCTTCTTTCTTACCCTGTGAAGTATGAGGCATGCCACTCTTCTGTAGTGTGCCAAAGGGTGTGTAGGTTTATAAACTGCCTTCAGTTTGATATGGCTATGTGGGAGCACAGTGCCGCTTGCTGGTAGAATACTAAATACACTGTTCACACAGTCAATATCCCACTGGTAGATAGCCTGAACAGGGGAAGAATTAAACAGCTGCACTGTCTGAACTACTGATTGTCCTTCTTTACCACATCCAAAGTCCAAAACAGTGGAGGACAAGGAAACTCTAGGACCTAAAGAGAATAATCAATCTGTTTTTATTCAAGGACAATTGACTTTTAGTAGTAAATTGTTTTAAATTTCTCATATAAGGAATGTAAGTAAACCATATACACGTTTGTATTTTTGGGAAAACAAAGCACTGCGTTTCTTACCTATGCATTTTCCTGTGAGTTTGAGCTGAGATTCGGTGAGTGTGCCCCCATATTTAAGAGACAAGTAATCAACAGAAACAGTGTCCACCACAGTAGGAGAATAAGTGACTGTTGCTTGACGTGATCCACCAGGGGCCAACTCAGCGCTGGTGATATCACAGCTAAACTCTGGTTCAAACAAGGTTTCAACACCGGGCACTTGTGTCAGAGAAAAAGACACGTTTACCTGAAAGAGCGGATCAATAAGAAGAATGTGAGAGAAGTCATTTGAGAGTTTAACCTTTGTTTTGTGCATGCATACATATTACTCACAGGGCATGGGTTAAAGATGCTAAAGCGTTTACACAAACTCCAGCCAACTGTCACAGACCCAAAATGCAACACTGGTTGCTCATGGTGTTTTTCTTCTTTGTTACTGGGAATTTGTAACTGAAGATAGGGGTACTTTGCTTAAAAAAAAAGAAAAGAGGCAATGAAAGTGATTTTGACCACATAGTATATTTTCATTCGCTTTCCTATACTTATTTATATTTTTTGGACTATAAGGCACAATGGATTATAAGGCGCATTAAGTGAAACTAAAACATTTTGACAGATTTTTGAGTGCCGTGTACTAGATAAAGTGGGTTCGAGGTCAGTAAGCGCAACCAGAATTAATATATAAGGTGGATTATAAGGCTCACTGTTGATTTTTGACAACGTTAAAGGATTTTAAGCGTGCCTTATAGTCTGAAAAATATGGTAGTTTTGTGAAGTTTAGAATCCTCTTTGGTGTGGCTTGAATACATTTTCTTTACATTTGCAAATAGACTGCTGGATAGTCAGACAAAAGAATAGGAAAGTAAAATTTGGTGCTTCACAAAGAACTATAACACTGTTTTTTTTTTTTTTTATCAGTGACAGTAGATTTAAGTAAATTGTCATTTGTAAGAGCAGTTAAACATTTCCCCATACAATTAGTTGTATTTTTTTTTTATCTACCTCAGGTGTTACTGTCATAACAGAAATTTTATGTCCAATTTTAGCTGTACCTTCTCCCAGTAGAAGGACAGTGCTGCAGTTATCAGCTTTATCCCCTTCTCCAAATCTGCAGAAAGCCTGCTGCTGGTACACCAGTTCCTCCTGTGGCTGAAAGACCACCGTGATGCAACACTTCTGACCAGCTTTCAGTAGGCCTTGTTCGGGCCTCAGCTGAAACGGTGCCGCACAGTCCCATTTAAAAGATGCATGGAGCCTACTGTGAGAGGAAGTTAGGAAAACACAGAAAAATATTTTAAAAAGTGTGGATGTCTCAAGCAAAATGGAAAAGCAATATTAGCTGTTTTTTCACTCAACACACAAAGACACTTTTTAATTTAAGTTGGGCATACACTAAGCACACTCTGAGGTACCTGACGTTTTTTAGCAGGAAATGAGTTTGCGAGGAGTGCTGAACAGCACAGAGTGGAAGCTTCACACTGTCAGGAACCTCCAGCTTGGGACAGGAAACAATGGCACGCAGGCGTACTTTAAAGCTGCCGTCTTTAACTTGAAACTCAATGCTGTCCTCATATTCACACTGTCCCATGCAAAAATATAGACATGCATTGCATTACACAAGCAGATGACATGAAACTGCAGAAGTGGGTTATCATATGATTGTCTGATTTTTTTTTTTCTGCAACCCCTGTTATCAAAATCCCACAGTAGATCAAGTGATTTATTTCATTAGAGAATATAATGCCTTACCCTTTGTAATGGTCTAAAGGTGATGGGCAGGGAAAATGAAGTCCCTGGATTGAGAAAAACTATCTGGGGAATTGAGCCAAAGAAAAACTTGGACGTTGGATGTCTGTGAGAAAACAACCGGGTTTGTTATCATGTGGATCAAATGAAAAGTTTAGGAGTATAAGTGAATTTGGGAAGTTGTACCTAATATGCATTTTCTGTGACTTGTTATAGATGTTTTTGATCACCAGCAGCTTGGTGAACTCCCCTCCCAGGTCCCAGTCTTCCCATAACAGTTCTGATTTGGTTTCCAAATTGAAAATGCAGCTTTTTTGTTCTGAGGCGTCCCTTTGGTACCGCACACCCTTCTGTCTGTTGTGGTGTCCTGTATTCTGCAACGAGAGGAGTTGAAGAAGATGCAAGTTTTGGATGAACAAGTCAAATAAATAAAAAAAATAGAGAGCACTGAAGGCTTCATAAATGTGTAAATCAACATTTAATGTTATAATAAAGTGAAAGCTGATAGGTTATTAAAAATATATATTTTTGCTGATTTTGCATGCTTCGGAAAAATATTTGACTAGAACTGATATATAAATAAGAATATTCCGCAAATACATGTTGATGTTTCAGAAAAAAACTTGGTAACTTGTACTGTCCGATCTTTCCTAAAAATGCCTTAAAAGGAAATAGCAACATGACGGTTGATTTTATTCACAGTCCATTTTATTTTTTAAATTGTATTCATCATACTGAGTTGCAACTTAATTTGAATATAACTAAATAAAGTTTCACAAGAGTTTGAAATAGGAGATGAAACACTGTTATGAAGAGAGCATTAGACGTTCAGTTGGCTGGACTTTACTTTGACATCCTTCACTGGGACGAGGAGCTTCTGTTGATTTACACGGTCCAAAGAGTCCAGATCATGGTTGTCAGCTAACATGCCTGCAGAAAACTGAGAAAGCATTGGATCATTATTTAGTGAAATAAAGGCAAGAAGAGACACATTAACAAGACTGGACAGGTTCTGTTGTGGGCATGGAGCTGGACTTTGTAGGGACTGTAACTGAGAGGCAGACCTCTACATGGACAAGACCCCAAATCCTCAGCACCACTCCATCATCAGGCAGAAGACTGTGTTTAGACTGAGACACACTGTTGACACCATGCTAATAAACAAATAAATAAGCATAACTCATTTAGACCCCACGTCCCCCATCCATACAGCTGTATAACGTCTCCCTAGTTATGACATCTACAATATCAGAACAGTAGTATAACAACTAATAACTCTCATTTGGTTATTTAGTTTAGATCCAACAA